GTCTGTTGGAAGTAGGAAAATGGGTTTATATATCTGTGGAATGACCAGGGTGGGACAAAGGACTCTTGTCTGCTGGAGCTAGGTGTGAATGTTTCAACTGACCACCTTCATTAGCATTTGAAGGCCTGCTGAGCCTGGGGGAATCTTTTGTTGAGAGGTGTTAAGATGTGCCTGGTTGTTTCCTCTCTGCTGTTTTGCTGTTGTAATTTTAGAGTTTTTTAATACTGGTAGCCAGATTTTGTTCATTTTCATGGTCCTTTCTGTTGAAATTGTCCACAGATATATAAACCCATTGTCCTATTCCAACAGACCTCACTACCTCTGAGGATGCTTGCCATAGATGCAGGCGAAACGTCAGGATAAAATGCCTCTAGAACATGGCCATATAGCCTGAAAAAACCCACAAGAGCCTAGTGATTCCAGCCATGAAAGCCTTCGACAATACTTATATATTATTTTGTTTGTATGCAAATGGCCTTGGCATGAATAAACAACTACAATACAGGAAAAAACCCAGTCCTTTGCTTTTCCTACTAATCTAATTAACATTTCTTTAATGGTCAAGTTAGGAGGAAGCAATATATAGATATAGATAGATATGACAGATTAGAGAGATGGGCCAAAACTAACAAAATGAAGTTCAACAGTGACAAAGGCAAGATACTCCACTTTGGCAGGAAAAACGAAATGCAAAGATACAGAATGGGGGACAATGCCTGGCTCGAGAGCAGTACGTGTGAAAAAGATCTTGGAGTCCTCGTGGACAACAAGTTAAACATGAGCCAACAATGTGATGTGGCGGCAAAAAAAGCCAATGGGATTTTGGCCTGCATCAATAGGAGCATAGTGTCTAGATCTAGGGAAGTCATGCTACCCCTCTATTCCGCTTTGGTTAGACCAAACCTGGAATATTGTGTCCAATTCTGGGCACCACAATTGAAGAGAGATATTGACAAGCTGGAATGTGTCCAGAGGAGGGCGACTAAAATGATCAAGGGTCTGGAGAACAAGCCCTATGAGGAGCGGCTTAAGGAGCTGGGCATGTTTAGCCTGAAGAAGAGAAGGCTGAGAGGAGATATGATAGCCATGTATAAATATGTGAGAGGAAGCCACAGGGAGGGAGCAAGATTGTTTTCTGCTTCCTTGGAGACTAGGACGCAATGGAACAATGGCTTCAACTACAAGAGAGGAGATTCCATCTGAACATGAGGAAGAACTTCCTGACTGTGAGAGCCGTTCAGCAGTGGAACTCTCTGCCCCGGAGTGTGGTGGAGGCTCCTTCTTTGGAAGCTTTTAAGCAGAGGCTGGATGGCCATCTGTCAGGGGTGATTTGAATGCAATATTCCTGCTTCTTGGCAGGTGGTTGGACTGGATGGCCCATGAGGTCTCTTCCAACTCTTTGATTCTATGATTCTATTCTATGATTAAACATTCAAATGGGTGTGGATGGAGTGGAGTGATTTTAACATTGCCTTTCTCTCTTTCTCCGATGCCGAGAAGTCCTTGTTGTCATCACAGAGTGTTTCCAAATGGACTTTAGCAATGCAATGGTTGCTCAATTAGTTAACGATTAATTGGGGGGCGTCTTTCCCCTCTCCCCCATTTTTCCGGCTGTAATTTTGGCCTTCTTCCAGTCTGCAATGTTGATGGAAGCCAACAGATGCAAAGCCGTCTCAGGTTGCTTTGCCAGTCTTTTTTGGGGACTACAGCGCCCAGAATCCAATGAATTCTAGCTGTTGCCATTAAGAGGATAGAATATATTTATATCCCCCCAAGTTTGTAGCTGAACCATCACTGAATGCTAGTGAGTCCTCTGACTTCTGGTCTTGGTATACGACATAGGGACTCTTTCTCTAGGAAATGGCTCGGTCTATCATAGGACTACATGGCAATTTCCAACTAGAAAATCCTTAGGGAGATGACCAAAAAAGTAAAGTAGAGAGGGGGTAATTATTAATTATTGTTATTAATATTATAAATGTGCTGTCAAAGGCTTTCATTGCCAGAATAATCTGGGTTGCTGAGAGTTTTCTGGGCTGTATGGCTATGTTCCAGAAGCATTCTCTCCTGACATTTTGCCCACATTTATGGCAGGCACCCTTAGAGGTTGTGAGGTCTGTTGGAAACTACAAGAAAGGA